TCTTACTAGTGTTAAAAAACTGATAGCTGTCTTCCTGCTTCTGACAGAGTGGGCAATCTGTGTGCCATTTGTCTCCCCAAATTGTCAGAGCAACAGTCTTAGTTATATGGTACCTTTAACTTGAAAAAAAATCATAGCCCCTCCCCCCAGCTCGTTGCTGGTCACCTGGCCCCTCCTCCTTCATTCATCTCAGGCCAGCAACTGGATCTACGAACCAAAAGCAAATTTAGGAACCACTTCTATAGATCCGGTACAAACCGGCTGAATCCCACCTCTGGTTTGTTCTCCTTGCAGTCAAGGGGACTCGAGTCTCCTCCAGCACCACAATTCAAAAGCATCAATTCCATACATTGCTACTGGAAAAACCATAGCGTTGGCTACGTGGACCTTTGTCGGCAAGGTGATGTCTCTGCTTTTTAAGATGCTGTCTAGGTTTGTCATCGCTTTCCTCCCAAGAATCAGGTGTCTTAATGTTGTGGCTGCTGTTACCGTCTGCAATTATCATAGAGCACAAGAAAATAAAATCTATCACTGCCTCCATATCTTCCCCTTCTATTTGCCAGGAGGTGATGGGACGAGTGGCCATGATCTTAGTTTTTTTGATGTTCAGCTTCAGACCATTTTTTACACTCACCTCTTTCACCCTCATTAAGGCCATCAGAGTGGTATCATCTGCATATCTGAGATTGTTGAGATTTCTTCTGAAAATCTTAATTCTGGTTTGGGATTCATCCAGTCTTGCCTTTCGCAGGATGTATTCTGCATATAAATTAAATAAGCAGGGAGCCAATATACAGCCTTGTCATACTCCTTTCCCAAGTTTGAACCAATCAGTTGTTCCATAGCCAACTCTAACTGTTGCTTCCTGTCCCACATATAGATTTCTCAGGAGATAGATAAGGTGGTCAGGTACTCCCATTTCTTTAAGAACTTGCCATAGTTTGCTGTGGTCCAAACAGTCAAAGGCTTTTGCGTAGTCAATGAAGCAGAAGTACAGTGGTGCCTCACTTTACGATTGCCTCGCATTACGACAAATCTGCTTAACAACAATCTTTTTGCGATCACAATTGTGATCACAAAATGATGTGTGAATGGGGGAATTTTGCTTTGCAATGATCGGTTCCCTGCTTCGGGAACCGATTCTTCACAAAACGTTTTTTGAACAGCTGATCGGTGGTTTCAAAATGGCCACCAGGTGATTAAAATGGCTCCCTGCTGTGTTTAGGGACGGATTCCTTGCTATACAGGCAGCGAAAATGGCCGCCGTATGATCTTCGCTGGACCGTGAGTTTTTAGCCCATTGGAACACATTGAATTGGTTTCAACGCATTTCAATGGGGTTTTTATTTTTGCTTTACAATGTTTTCACTTAACGGCGATTTTCCTGGAACAGATTATCGTCGTTAAGTGAGGCACCACTATAGATGTTTTTCTGGAACAGTCTGGCTTTCTCCATAATCCATCTCATGTTAGCAATTTGGTCTCTAGATCCTCTGCCCCTTCGAAATCCAGCTTGTACTTCTTGGTCCACATACTGCTGAAGCCTATCTTGTAGGATTTTGAGCATAACATTGCTAGCGTGTGAAATGAGTGAAATTGTACGGTAGTTGGAGCATTTTTGGCACTGCCCTTCTTTGGGATTGGGATGTAGACTGATCTTTTCCAATCCTCTGGCCACTGCTGAGTTTTCAAAACTTGCTGGCATATTGAGTGTAGCACCTTAACAGCGTCATCTTTAAAGATTTTAAATAGTTCAACTTTTTATTAACCATTGCTTAATTTAATGTTGAAATCTATCCTTGAAATTCCTTTATTCAAGTATGGCCACCTCACATTTGTTTGTGTTAATTTATTTTGAGCTTTTCCATTATTTGGAATACAGTATTGCTATTTATGTCAAATATGTGTTCATGTACTATTTTGTGCAGATATTGTATGCACTGTCTGTCTTGTGCAGATGTGGTTAGGGCAGTGCTAGTAAGTGATGGCACACATATTGCCCTGGAAGATGAGCTGATACATGACAAAAATGTGTAAACTGCATAGCAGGATGGAAGCATTACCACTAGTGACTATTGTTATGAATGCATTATTTTGTTCTTACCATGGGCTCTGTATTGAAATATCACAAACCTGCTGCCAATCCTTGCCTTTTATGGTCTTTTGGATCATTGTTATCATGTCTCTCCCTCTTCAATCGTGTGTGTGCGTGCGCGTGTGTGCAGAAGCCATTGGGGAGCTGCAGGATGGGGGGGGTTAATTTCCAAATATTGCTGCCAGAGAGATTTTACTGGCAGCAGCAATTTTTGGAAGTTAAAGACCCCCACCCTGCCCTGCGGCCCTCAACAGCTTCCCCATGATGAAAGTGATGTGATGAGAGCCTGAGGGCTTTTGTGGGAGGAATCTGACAATTTCAACTTGCAAACAATCACCATAGCTGTTGGCATCCTCAGCCTCACGTGGCACAGCTCCATGAACAAGATTTTAGCCAGCATGTACCAAAATACAATATAATTGGGGCCTTAGTCCATGACAGCTTGTTCCACCATAAATCCATTTGCATGTGCTACAAGACTAGTTTGTTGTTTTTTAAATACTGTAGCTGCCACAGTCTCAAGGAATTTAGTAAAAACAAATTGGCACAGTTGGAGCCAGAGGTGAAGTCTAGCACTGGACAGCTTTGCTTTTCAAAACTGACCTCCTAGACTCACTGGAGGTCAATAGGGCTACTTTCCTCCCTCCCCTTTTTTCCTTTACTTAGTAGGACTATACCAGAAATGTAACAGCTGTAGCTTCCAACATTTGGAGTGACAGAAGAACTGGTACTGTTGAATCATCATCATAAGAACCACAGGAATCCTCCCCTGGGGCCTGCCAAAAATGGAGGAAAAAAGGTTTTCTTCTTTTAGGCGCCTGTTCTAGACAATATAATTGAACAGAAGTGGCCACATTATTACTGTAGTTGAAGAGCAGGTTGCCCAACTGAGAGATCTGATGACCGGACCAGCACGTTCCCAAAGAAACTGCCTGGTTTCCCCATCATGAATTCTCTCCTTGTTGTTTTAAGGTGCCTCCTCTTTACTTCCTGTGTGACATTTTTCTAGGCCTGGTCATAGGAGAGAGGAGGCCTCTTGTTTACTAAACGCCTCTCCCTATTTGAGGAAGCAGCTTCTCTTCAGGTTTTGGAAGGTGCCCAGTTACTTCTCTGTGCCTTCAGCCAAGAAATGCAGTATGTCAGTCTGGTAAAGCTTGGCATTAGGACAACAGGCCATGAACTACAGGCCCTGGATAGGAAAATGTGCTCCTTTCAGAAGCATGTGGGTATGGACAAAACTCTGTGGTTAAAGGAGCCTTCCCTTCCTTGAAAGATAAAACGCAAAGTAACTCTGCAGGTAAAGTTCTGGATGACTCAGAGTTAGGCGAAGCGTTCATCCAGAATGCGAGATGGCCGGACTCAAGGTCTGGCGCCAGCAAAGATACTCCGATGTCCAGCTTGAGCCGGGGTGGGAAAGCCACTCTGCACATGCTCGCCAGCAGCCTGGCGAGTCACATGTTTCTCGCGGCAGAAAAAATGAGGAACCAAAATCACCTCGAGGTCTCAAATGAAACTCCGCATGTCAGTTTGACACCAGCCAGAAGCCAAGACCCCCGATAAAATTATTATTTCCCTCAGGGACCTCTGAAAGAGGGACGTGGGAGAGGCTCAAAGCCTTTCTTCTAAAAAAAGAAAAAATGCAAGCGGGGATGGAGGCCACTCCAGGCGCCCCCACTTTCTCTTCCTCCAGCCCCCTCCGAGGCTCCAAGGCCCACAAGAAGCCATGGGTGCCCCAGAGGCAATTATGCAACCTCCCCTCCTCTCCTCCTCCTCTCCCTCTGACAGCCGATAAAGGGAGCGACGAGGCTCCTCGGAGCCCTCCCGCTGGCGGCGGCGGCGGCGGCAGCGGTGACGCAAGGGGTGTTGTCCTCCCGAGCCCTCCGAGTGCGGTCCTCTCGCGTGGGCTGGAGCTGAGACGCCAGGCCGGAAAAGTGCCAGGGCCGAGCGAGGTTTCCGCGCCCCAGCCGCGCGGTCTCCTCCCTGCGCCCCGCAGGCCCGCCCCTTCTTCTTCCCAGCTCGCCGCTCTCTGGCTCTGGGTCGGCCCCGGGAGCCGCAGCGGGACACGGCC